ATAAATGGAAATTATGTTGAGAAATTACGAAAGGATGAAAATTAAATATATTAAAATAAAATTGTTTTTAATTAGTTGTTTCAGCCAACTTAGCAAAGTTTTGGACAAAATGAAAATGTTTTATCATAACTGCAGCGCGTACAGAACAATCTCCCGAGATGCTGTTCAAATAATTGCTGGCATGCCACCAATAAAACTTCTAGCTAGAGAGACGTGAGAGGCAGAGAGGAGTGGTGGTCCCAGAAGTACCCGACCTCACGTGTAAATAGCGGTTTTTGTTTGAAAAACTACTATGATCAAAAGTATCATGCTTATAAAGCTTAAGTTTGAAGACGCTACGTTGCTTAGTATTTGTTTGACAAAAAATTGGTCATCATTACGCGATATAATACTTTCATTTAAAAGGTCTCAGTCCAACCAACTAGAAAATGGTAAGCAACTTCTTTGGCTCGTTTTGATGTTATAATTCTGAGTTGAACAAACTTCGTGGTTTTGGCAAACCATTATAAATTTATAGTCACCGTTTGTGATTTCATATCAATCTAATCAAAATATTGTATCTAAAATATTTAAATTCTAAAATTTTTGAGCGGCAGGTACTTAAATTTGATACGCGGACGTCGCGTTGCCGACTAGAGCAGTGTTTCTCAATCTTTTAGGTCCGCGACCCCCTTTTACACTTAAAAAATTAAATGACCCCCAAAGAATGGGTATGTGTAAAAAAAGACCGTCCCGTCTGTCATCATTTTTTCTGACATCTCCCAAACATTTTTCTTTGAGAATCATTGGGCTAGATCCTCGAAATGCACAACGGAAAACTGGGGTGCGGAATAGACATGGTAAATTTACATTTTCCGAAGATAGTTGTGAATTAGTAATAATTACAGGTTTATCTCATAAATGCTTACAAATTAATCACTTTGACCTTCTTTGTTATCGAAAGTCTTGTTTATATAGTGTCATCTACTTTAGTATTATTTTTTTTATTAATGAAACAATTTTAGTTTTAAACAATTTTTCTAAATAATATTATAATATAATATAAATATAAAATAAATTCTTAAATGTAGATTAGTCTTACCTTTTTGTATTAGTGTGATATCGATTGATATCATGTTAGCTGGCGATGAGTAGAGGCAATCTATTATAATGTATAAGTGTAAACAGCACGAGAGATTTGTGTTAAGGGGATTTTAAGGGGTAGTAATAAGTTGGCCTACATCCAATATCTTTTCAATACGGCAGCGATTGCTCACTTTGTATTAGAAGCTACTTTATAATGTGATGGTGCCATGATTACAGGCCATCAATCAACATCAAAAATGCGCTGCCAATAATGCATTATCGGGATTAACGCGAGACCGGAATCTGGTGCTAAACTAGAGCGCGATTATCAATATTTCATTAGGCCGAAGAAGCGCACACTGTACTAATATAATATATATAATAGATTGGTTTTGCGGAAAATATCGACTAATTATAAATCATATTTATGCGGATGTGGACTTTATTGGCGGACAGATCATCCGGAATTATTTATCGTCGCCATAAAGTTCCCTCGATATATCATTGTTATTTATCGCGAAAAAAAAAACAAACAATTTGGCGTAAATACACAAACACGATAATAAATTAACATGATTTAAGTTGCGATTAATGTATACTTTGGGGGTATAATAAAATCTTCCGTGTGATTTACATATGCCAGACTCGGGCTTTTAGAATTTATTTATCAATTATCGCAATTCACAATTTAATAAGCGTTGTACAGTTATTTAAGATGTGGATATAATTTAAAATTATTTACGAATTGAAAATTTATATATGATACATATATTCACGAATAAACTTTTAATTTATCTAGCAATTACCATTAATTTATTTTTAAATAAATAATAATAATACATTTATTGAATATAGTGGATCAACTATGACTGACTGTTTTAAAATATTTATAACTTGTGACTTTTTAATATTTTTAATTTTTTTTTATTTATGATGAATATTCAAATTTGATTTGAAGATGTTTCCATAGAAAATTTAATTGGCCCAAAAATTGTTAACACGGGATTCAGAAAAATGCCTTAGATATGCCAATAAATTTGGTGACCGAATTATTTCGAAAAATTCAGATTTCACTTTTCTTCCCCGTTCTCCCAATTTAACGATTTCTCTTTGTGGGTATGGTTTACCAGAATAAACCGTAAACAATAAATCAGCTTAAATTAAATATTTGTAAAGAAATAACAAATTTGGAGCCAGAAACGCATTTCTGTCAACAAAAAATGGAGGTCATTTAAATAATAATAATATTATTATTAATAAATATATTATTTTCCACACTTATATCAGAAAAGTTCTTAACTAAACTATACTTTCATCTAAAAAAAATTACAATTACAAAAGTTATATGTATTTTACATCAGTCACTCGAAGTTGGCCCACCTTATATTTCTACTCTATAATTATAACAAAAAAAATAATTATCTGTTACAAAGTAGTTATACAAGTAGTATAATGTATTTTAATAATATTTTTTACAGAATGTGAGATGTTCCCTAAGAGTATGAGGAGAACACATTTTGTGTAATTTTCAATAATAGTTCAATCAATTAAACGGAATCTTGGTGTATATTCTAATTTTAGAAGAAAACATATAACACGTTAAACGAAAACTTCTAGTATTTCTAAATAATTGTCTCACTCTCCCTGAATCCTACCGTCCCATCTCTCTCCTCCCAGTCCTTGGAAAACTCCTAGAGAAAATAGTCCACAAAAGAATCCTCACACACTGTACCTCCAACAACATCATCTTGAAAATGGCGTGTTGGGTGGATGTGTGGTTAGTGAAACCATATTGGTGAGTTGG